TATTCGGAGTGTGGTGCCCCTTTTCTTTTGATTCATGCATACAGAGTGGAGTCTGTAGGTTTTCCATCACCCAACATTGGATGTAAGAAAAAGCAAGGATGTCTTACCCCTCTGGGTTATACATAATAGCCTCTTCTTGCCAGAGTGCCAGTCCAGGTGCGTAGTCATAAGGAATGTCTCTGGCTCAACTGATAGACAACATTCTTATACATAGAAGTGGAGATGATTGCTAATGACCTTAGGTATGAAAGGAAAACTGTCTGCGTCCCTAGCAATTAAATCTTCTGGTGTATCCCTGGAATTGGAGCAGCTGAATGGTTGCAGCAGTCAACACTTGACTGCTCCTCCTCCAGACACTTTCAAACAAGGTCTAAGGTGACTTCCACAGCCTTAGGTCAAACATTTCACATTTAGGTTACAGAAAGTCCAAAAACATTCACACAAAAACGAATAAGGCAAAACTGTGTGTGGATTTTTAAAAATGGGAGGGAGGGAAAGGTGTCTATGTTGTCGTAGTAACCAGTCAGGTGTCTGCTTTTATTTTCAATATCTTAAGCATTGAATAAAGCAGCACAAAGAGTGATAGATTATGTTCAAAGTGCAGTAACCCATCATAGTCAGAGCTCAGGGAAAAATAGATTCTGATTGACTGCAGTGGGTTACCAAACCTATGACATGACATTTTGCTATTGTTCTGGGTTCCTACAAAGTGTGGGGTGCCACTTGATGCAAGTTTAGCAACACAGGATCATAGTTGTGGTCCAGACTAGAGATGAGTGCATTGGTTTACTCGAATGGAGATTCAACCTGATAAAGCAAATATCTGTGAAACCAATGTGAATGATTTTGTTCGGTAATTTCCCACAAGGAAGCTGGTGTTTGGACCCCCTAACTGTGCTGTCCCATGATTCTGAAGACCTCCAGCCAAAACGTGAGGAAACCAGTGGTGATGAATTACTTGGCAGTGTGGCTGTGGACAACTGGGCAGGTATAAGAAGAGGCAGGGAGCCTACAGCCAAAGAAATGCAGCAGTGAAGCGTTAGAAGGTCCAGGGGACCCTTTCACCAATCCATGTCCTGTGAGTGGGGGAATGTATTTTAGGAACAGGCAAACAAAGCCAATGGTCGGCGAATATCCGAGTCTATCAAATGGATCGCAGGGATATTACCGATTTTTTTTTCTATGTTCTCATCTCTAGTTCTGACCCAAAAGGGTGCTGGTCCTTGGTTAGGTAAACAATATTGCTCACATGGTGGGGCATAGGAAAACATAACTGCATATGACCATGCCCTTTTAATTGTAGTTTCCCATTATGTTCTTCAATCTGCTACAAGAATGATCAATAAACCATTGCCTGCTATAACCTTTGGCTTAACCCCATTATAACAGTGTATCTGCAAAAAAAGAAATAAACTAAATACAGCCAATAAAAAAAAACCCACTAACAATAGGTGAATCATCCACTTTACTATGTCATGACACTGCAGCAAAGCAGGTAATTCATCTATAGCAGAGATCCCCAACTGGTAGTTTGTGAGCCACATGTCACTCTCAGCTACCTCTGAACACACTCATGGCAGCCATCAGGTCGGTACCCAGTCTATGCTGCATTTTACACTACAGGGGTATTAAACCAATCAGAGGATGCCTAATGATAACATTCCAGCAGCATTTTTAGTACTGTTTTCAACAAAGCTTTGCGAGTGCTCTTTTTTCATATTTACCATGGGACTAAAGGGGTCCATCAATCAGAAATGGTACTTGCCTTATAGTTGGAGTCTGGCAGTCAGAGACCCCGATTGGTGTTCGAGAACACTTGGGGGCCACCATTGAGGGATTCTACTTGTCATGGCTCCTGGCTCTGTTTTCCCTTTCCACTTATTGCATTCCCTGTGCTATAAAATAAACTAAAATAGAGTGGGTCTCCTTCATAATAGACACCACAGACGAGGGTAAGCAGAGATCTCACCAACAGAGCCTCTGAGCATACAGTGACAGGTCTTAATTCTCTATCATCTACCAAAAACATAATATTTGGGTGGAGTGGCCCTTTAATACAATGACACAATATTGAATTCTATACAAACTGTGTGAAAAATATATTCTTTACATATACCAACTCGGTAGAAGATGTCAGCTGCTGTTTATTAGGCTGCAGTGGTTTCTCCTAAGCACCGTCTGATGAGCTCGGGAGACCAGGACTTGGGCATGAGGTGAGGTGAATAGGCCACCACGGGAGCCCCAAACAAAAATGTTTTGCAAGAGTTTCACCTTTTTTAAAGGGAATAATCTTTTAAAGGGAACATTTTAAGTCAGCATTATTTTCGCCCTTTTGGTAACATTTTTAAAATGTTTTAGATTTTTTTTTACTATAATTATACAAACCTCAGTTTACAAATAAACATTAAAGCAAGACTCTATGTTTTTTTTAAATGTTGTGTCTGGCAGTGGGTACAATATAGAAAAAAAACAGCTTTCGATGCAATGTTCATCTCCTATTTGGTGCTGTACTTTGCTGACTCACCGCTCTTGGTCAACTTTATCATCCCTATCTTGGATTGAATGACAGCCAGCATCATCCAACCCACTTTCTTTCAGCCCTGGCTGTCACAGACATAGTTACTTAGTATTTGGGGTTGAATAAAGACATACGTCCATCAAGTCCAACCCATATAGGTCCACGCATCATCTCATTCTTAGGGATACTGGTATGCCTGGATATTACGGTCCCTCAAGAAATTGTCCAAACGTTTCTTAACCAAATCTACACTCTTGGCTGAAATCACTGCCGATGGCAGTGAGTTCCAGACCTTAACCGCTCTTACTGTAAAGAACCCTCTTCGCCCATTGTGCTGGAATTTTTTCTCCACCAACTTTAGGTGGTGGCCTCTAGTCTTTGTAACATGACGCCTGGTGGGAGCTTGTGCTTACAATACTCCTATACAATACTGAGCGATACTCACATCTCATTATGTAAGCACCACTCATTCCATGGGGAACAACCACCAACCCCCACCAAGAATAAGAGGAAGGACCTGTGAAATCACTGGACTGGCCTGAAGATTACAGAAGAAAAGGTCTGTACAAAGAGTAAAAAGTAAAACATAATGGTTGGGGTAGTTCAGGGAGGCAGGGGAGTGGATATTAGGAAAGCTGGAGTTCCACTTAACTACATGATTAAGAATTCCCAGCAGTTACCTAAAGAAACAGCAGAGCAGGCCCAAAGCTGGCTTTGTCTGAATGTAACCTCAGACAGAGCTGTCTGATACTGTCACTGTGATAAGCCGCTCTGTTCTGTGTGTAAACTGCAGATTGAGCTATTGAGCTCTGTTAACAGCCTTTTGTTCTCAATAGACTATATTTACCTGGCAAAATCTTATACATTCCCTTTAATTATAACTTAAAAAGGTTCTGCCATTATTGACTTGGTTTTGAAGGTTCTGGGCTTTTCTGAGTTTTGCTGATTGGAGAGCTATTGGTACTGGAATAAGCAGGGCAGATTTCTCCATTGACGCTAGGAGAACCAACTGATTTCCCTTGTTCCGCCCATGGGGCTGAACAAGTGATATCTAAGCATGTATGGCTAGCCTTTTACTGATACAACTGGCACCCTGAAATAATTGGTGCAGTTTAGCAATAGAGTTAAACTGGGCTTTAGATTTATGGCTTTAAAAAAAGAATTGAAGAACTGACTGATTGGGGCACCCATGGTGGGCCAAGTCTTGGTCACATGATCTCAACTAAATGTTACGTAGGCAATTGGTTAGCAAGTTTCTTTCAAGTAAGAGATATTGATTGATGAAATAGCAACCTGACAGAGTTTATAACCCTTCTCCAATCTATCCAAAGCAAAGAAAATCGGCTTTAGGTACGGTAAGTTGGGATGTAACAACATTGCCAGAAGTGGGGATAGGCATTCGAGCCATGGTCATTGACACCAACAAAGACCCGGCATCTAATCCTCTCTAGTCTAAAGAATTCAATAACAACTGAGCTTTCAGGTTAAATCAGCTAAATATATTCCAGCTACATCAAAACAAAAGATGATTAAAGTCTTAAAAGGCCGCCACAGTTTGAACAGCAAAGCCTGTCCATTGCCAGCATGCTGTAGAGAAGGAAGCAGCAATCTCTCTGCAGATGTCCAACACACCCTCTGCTAAGCCACAGCTAGAGTTCTTTAATCAGTAGGCAGCGTGAGCTTTGCTGATTGAAGAGCTCTAGCTGTGGTTTAGCAGGGGTGTGTCAGACCTCTGCAGAGAGATTGCTGCTTCCACACAGAAAGCAAGCTTCCTTCTCTACAGTATGCTCAAAGAGGACAGGCTTTTTTACTCAGGCTGTGGCTGCTTTCTAATGAAAACAAACTACAAGACTTGGCACACCTTTTGTTTTGATGCACAAGGAAAGTATCAAGATTTTTTTAAAACAGAAAGTTCAACTAGAGTTTCAGTTTAGGGTTCAAATATTTTTAAGGCATGTTATTGCCAATGTGGACCACCAGCTGCAGTTGGGGACCTTTGCTCTAAAATCTGACAATTGTTTAATTTAAAAATAAAACTCTAACCATTATATCTTCTTGCTAATTCCAGTCACTGACTATGACATCATGATGTAAAACGAAGAACGGTGTATAGCTTAACATTGAAGCATGCAGGGCAAAGATAATGACCAAAACAAAAAAACACAACAAGAGTGTACAACAGAGATCAGCACTACACAGAAACTTCTTTTTGAAATGTTGTGAGTATAAGGCAATATTTAACTCTGTTATTTTACACACAGACAACGGGAGGCAAAAAAAGATGAAAAAAAAAAAAGTTAAATAGTGGCTCTGAAATCAACATTCAAAGTAGGTGGGTGCATTTCAAAATACAAAAATAAATGCAATGTTTCAGCAGTCTTTTTTAGAAGTCTGATATCACTTTTGCCATCAGAAAACAAAAACATTGTCAATATATCGCTCTAACAGTGCAAAAGTGGAACACATATAAAAAAAACAACACAGCATTCGAATGGTTGTCACAGAAACAGCTAAACACATGGTTTGGTAAAGATCTGAAGATGTGCCATGGCAAGTTTAAGTAAAAACACTATTAAAAAAAAAAAAAAGTACTTTATGCTATTGCTATTGAAACAACAGCAGCAAGAAAAAACAAAAATAGTAAAAAAAAACAAAAAAAACCCCAAAAAGAACAAGAAGAGGAATTGGGGACGCTATGTGTTTTGGGTTCAAATTAATTGCATGGGATTTTATAACCAGAAAAGAAAAAAAAATCACATATAAAGGTGTTCAAAAAGTTACTGGCGGACGTAAACATCCCGATTCCACTCATTGTCATTACGTTTCCTAGAAATTTCTCCGTCCTTTTCACAATATCGTTCCCGTGATTTGTGACGGCTGCGGGGTTTGTTGCATTCGATGTGGTCCTGATCCCTGTCCTCGCTTGTCCGGTGTCGAGGTTCTTTGTGTCTGTGTTCGCTAACCGCGTGAGATTCGTCTCTGTGGTTGTGATCCCGGTGGGACTCCAGAGGATCAGCATGCTCGGAAGAGTAATTATCCTTTGGCTCTAGGTATACGGAGTCTCTGTTGTCTTGCGTCTCGTCAAAGGTCTCCTGTCGAGAAAGTCCTCTGCTAACTCCACTTCGGTGGTTGTGGTGCTGGGCGGAGGAGGAAGATCGATGCTGAGACTTTCTCGAGGGTGGTTCTGCGGGCGCCTCTTCTTCTGCAGGCCCAGGTCGTTCCGGGGGAGGATGTTCGTTCTTCTGCTCTCCTTGGGAGCCCTGCTGAAGGAAAAGTATGAGAACCTTTATAAATGCTAATAGCTTAAATGGTGTTTTTCATTTATCAATAAAATGGCCAAGTTCCCTCTTGAACCTCCTAATGGCTACCAGAAAAAGATGCCAGCTCATAGCATTCTGCATTTTATGCTATCACTCCTGAAATAATATCCCCTTGATATTAATATTAATAATATCCCCTCGATGTCTCTGAAACACTCTTTGAAAAAGTGCTTTCAGTGCAAAACATGTCAGAGGTGAACCCAGTTTAATAACCAAAAAAAGCTGCTATAGCCAAGAGTACGCTGATTCATCCAATCGCTTCCTGGTGACGAGGATTGCTGATTGAGGAAAACTCATTGAAGGACCTGAAAAACCTTTCCACTTTCCCTTGTACTGCATACCCTTGTTTCTCAAACTTTATTGACGGCATCCTTTAAAAGTATGCAAGATTTCGAGGCACCCCAGTCTAAAATGTAAAGATTGTAAATGTACAAAAAGTACAACATTATGTGTGGCCTCTTCAAAATACATACCAGGCCCTCATCCCTGATTGGAGTCTGGTATGGATTTTAAGTGGGGCCCCCTTGCAAAAACACACATGCAAAAAAAAAGGGTTTTCCCCTTCGAATCAGAGCCCACCCTTCAAATTGGGAACCCCCTTTTTACACCAGAATCCTGCCTTTAATGTCAGAGTCCCCCTTTACATCAGACACCTTCTCCTTTCACATCAGAGGTCCCTCTTTAACATCAGAATCCACCTTTACATGAAAGTCCCCCTTTCATATATCGGAGCCCCCCTCTCTTTTACATCAGATTTCCCCTCTTACATCAGGAGCCCCCTTCACCATGGAAAGACATAACTGAGGAAGGCAGAAGGCACAAACTGGTGCAATACTCTATATCTGTATTGAAGCAGTATAATTATGTTTCTTAATTAGGAATCTGAGATGAGAATATTTAGCAGCAATCAATCAGAACTAGGGATGCACCGATACCGATACTAGTATTGCTGCCGATACTCGTACTTGCCCAAATGCTCCAATACCTTTCCCGGTACTGGAACTTCCGGTCAGAGGGAGATTTCCTCTGCCCGGCAGTGCCGCGAGGGAGCATGAAGCCGGGAAGCTGGCTCCATGCTGTTTGGCCGGCTCGATGCTGATTGACAGGGAAGCCGGCTTTCCAGCCAATCAGTGTCGAGCCGGGCAAACAAATCTGATAATATGGCAACACGACCCCCACCCTGCAACACAACCCCGATACCTCACATAGATCCTTTGCAGCACTCACTACCTTACCAGTCCCTCAGCCAGCTGGGCAGACACCGCTCTCCAAACTCTCCAGGATCTGCTCACGTCTCTGGTGTGCACATCGCCCACCTGATCGGCCCTCAGCCTGCTACTGCGCATGCACAGGATTTTTGAATGAGAGCGCTGGGCAGTCTGCGCATGCACAGTAACAGGCTGAGGGACGATCACGTGGTGCCAGGGATCTATGTGAGGGGAATGAGGTGCCTGCAGGGTGGGGGTTGTGTCACCATATTGTCAGATCTGTTTGGCTGGCCACGAGGCCGATTGGCTGGGAAGTCGGCTCCCCGGCCAATCAGCATTGAGTCGGCCAAACAGAATGTAGTCGGCTTCCCGGGCAATCAAGAAGCCGGGCGGTGAGTAATGACACGCTGCCTGGCTTCCTGATTGCCCAGGAAGCGGCTCTATGCTACCGGAAGTACCGGTATCAGTACACGGTATTGTCGAGTACCGAAATATAAATATCGGTACTCTTACTCGATACCGAATAAACGGTATCGGTGCATCCCTAATCAGAACTGATCATTTTTTTTAGATTTCATCATTAAGGGATGTTGGTACTTGGACAACAATTTACGTAAACAACTAGGGTCATTCTACTATATTGTATTTGTTTTTGATGTACATAGTATACATCCTTTTAGATGGGGTGGAACAGGAAGTTCTCATGAATATTGTGTGGCTGACAACACTGCAGAATCTGTACGCTTCTATCAAGTCTGCATGGACCAACGTCCTCTTTTTCAGCACAATCGTAGATACTTGACCTCTGACATAGACTGGACGTTTGTAGTGCCAGGGCTCCAAGTTTTATTGTGTCTTGTTTTTTTATGTATATTTTTTCACTGTTTTTATTGGCATCGTCTAGCACTGTTTCCACACTCAGGTTTTGTGTTTGAGATTGTTCTAAAGGTTGTCTTACCTGTGCGTTAGAGGCTGAGGAAGGGGTTGCGGGAAGGGTTGCAGTAGTAAGGGTGCGTGATAAAAGTGCATTTGGCGGGTTGCTGCTGGGAGGATGCGTGGCCTTCCAGTAAGCTTCTAGGTAATCTGCTAGATGTTCACACGCATCTTCAAGCTGATTCTCATCCAGGATGACATCAAACATTTCCTATGATAAACACATGATTGATTACAAGATTGCTTTCTTTAGATATTATAGTCGATCTAAACTTGAACTAGATGCTAAAGCACTGTGTATGATAAACAGGTGCCATTTTTTTTTCACAAGATACTATTTCCACCAAATTTTCATCCTATTTTGTAGCTTATTGCTGCTGATCTTCTCATGCCAGCTATTTTCAGCCACTTCCTGCACTCACTCCAGCGTCAGCTTCATATCACTGCTTTGGACCAGTTTCCTAATGGTGACAACAGTGGACCATGCCTGTGCCATGTGCATTGGCACGGCCACATACTGTACATTCTCCACCAGACGCATGTGACAATGAAGGAGCATGACTGGGTGATAGTTGTCACCCCATAACAGGAAGTGTTTGAGCAAGATATTGATTTACTGAATTTGTGGGTTTTAAAAAGCCTGAAAAAAATTATGAGATTTTAATGATCAGGTTTAGCTGTACTTCAATTATTTAAACAGCCTTCTTGCCCAGCTGAATGTCACACCTGCCTTCTCTTAAGTTGTCTCTTAAGCTCTGATAAGAGCATTACATCCATGATGCAGTTGTAAGAACCCCAACCCATTCCGTGACTGGTTCACTTGAACCTGCATTTTTTGGTCAACCAATCACCAAATAATAAACAGGGGAGAAGTTTAACCAAAGTCTTCATACAATTCTTTTTTTAAGAGACAACTTGTGGCAGCTATGAAATTCTGTGGACTTTGATTGGCTGGCAGCTCATTGTGTTATGTTATCACAGTCAACTGTCAACCAATAGAAGAACAGGATTTTTGACTTCCATCCATTTCTTAGAGTTCATTAAGGGGCAAAGGACAGATGAAATCTTAGACAACCGGGTTATGCTGCTGCTTACAGGAGATTGGACATTGGCAAACAAAGCTAAGTCAGCTAAGTATAACCACTCCAATCATGCGCCTAGTGATGACGTCATTGTATCTGGGCTGATTTACAACACAGGCACACTCTTTAATCTTGCAGGCCAGACTTCTGAACATAAAGATTATTTTACAGAGTTTTTTTTTACGGCTGTGAGCTAAGAGCTGTGACAGTAGAGAACATTAGAAACCATATAACAGTCTCCATGAATAGGCACTGTCGGATAGCATAGCCAAATGAAAAAATCCTTTGGCTGTCTGTGAAGGTTCTCATTCATTCAGGTCATGGTATATCTGCAAAAAATAAGTCAAGGCAACTGGACTTGCTGTATTTTTCTTGAAGACGTTTCACTGGTCATCCAACAAGATTTCTTAATTCAGAATGATTTGTACAAGTCATTCTGGATTGAGAAAGCTGGTCGGATGTCCAGTGAAACGTCTCCAAGAAAAATACAGCAAGTCCAGTTGCCTTGACTTATTTTTTACAGATAATCCTTTGGCTGTTTCATTAACTTTCATTGTTGTATCCTATGTACAGCTGTGGATGGTATGTGAAACCATTCATGTTTAATGAACAATTCATTGCTGTTTAAGGTCTAAAGTTCCTCCTATCTGAGCATTGTCAGAAACATAACAGAACGTGGGGCACTTACTGGCGGGCACTGTGCTAGTTTGTCAGCTGCTACCATTTGGACGTTTAGATGTTTTGCCTGAGATTTTCCTCGTGATTTTATTAACCTTTGTAAAACCTGAAAGTGATAAATAAATGCATGTAATATTAATATACAGAACACAAAACATGAGATTTCATTACATAAAACTACAACACATTATGAATGTGACACTTTTGGATTTGAGGTGGGAGGGCTATGAAATTATTTCCAGGGAAAGTAAACTTAAAGCGTCAGTCAACCTAATTGTAATACATCAATTTTAGGTGGCGCTTGATGGGCAAAGTCAGCCCTTAAATACTCCACCAGTGAGATCTCCCTGCCGTAATTCCTGACTCTATTTCTGTACACCTGGGAGTTTTGGGTGTCCCTATCACCTTTATGTGCTCCAGCTCGTTCAGTTACAATCTCTATCAAAATCCAACAGGGAGAGTGGAAAGCCATCACATTAGCTACAGCAAATCTGTAGAGTGGGAAACGCAGCATAGAGGCCTCACTAATAAAATCCCCGATAGAAATAAGAAACTGTTATGTTGCTAACCTCTGTTTTACAGAATGAAGGCGATACAATTTAAAGGCTAGAGGTGAAATTGATCTGTTATTTAGTTACAAAGTATAATGATGTGAAGAAAGAGGGTACAAGAGGTTGATGTGTGCTTAATTAATGTAATAATTATCATTTCACTGAATTATGTATGTTGTCAGCCTATCATACCAGTGCTTGAGGAATAGAATGTGGCATTGCCGTGGTTTCTCTTCTCAGATGTCTAAGACCCAACTAGTGACAGGAAGTGTGCTTTACACACCTGATTCTTGACTGCTTTGGAACACACAGATCACTTCCTGTCTCTACAGGGAAACTGTTTCATTCAAAAACTAAGAGGAGGAAAGAAGAGACTCTACCATCTGCCCTCCTCCATCCTACTCCATCTCCTCCGCCAGCCTTCTTCTAGTTAGATAAGGTCAGCTCTGAAGGCATTAGAGGTGTTTTTAACTGAACTGCCAACACATGGGATGTAAGCAATACTGGGAACAGGTGGTGGATTTCAAATGAATATAAAGACCTAGGTTCCACAAGGCTTCGGACAAAACCGAACATGAACGGACTCCCGTCCGTTTAGATCCGGCTGCCCATAGATTACCCCCGATTTGGCATGATCAAGTCTGGAAAAAACAGAATGCTGATCCGTTTGTTTTTCCGGACTTGGCTGGAGCCGGGGTAACCAAATATAAATGGGCGTTTGTCTATTTAGATCCGGCTGCCCATAGACTAACATTGGGCTGGAAAGTTGGCAGACGGACCTAATCAGAAAGCCCAATGTGAAAGAAAGGGCTCTAAGAAGCTTCTATAATCAGTTTAAGAGTTATTTTACAGATGCTTCTAACCTATTTCCAACCTGCTTCTAATCTGATTTTGCAGTTCTGACACAAAATAACACACAGTATCTGTGTACACAGTCTCGAAAACAGACGAAATGGCCAAAAATCACTAAAGCACATTTACCTTTGGAGAAGAAATCTTTACATAAACTATGATGGGGGCCAGGGAGGTCTTACTAAGTTGCGTTGGGTGGTTGATAGTATCTGCATCAAGAACTACCAGCTGCAACGTCCTCGCTAACTCAAAGATCCGTTCTATTTCACTCTGGACTTCAGCTGAGGATACAGAAAAACGAGAATGAAAGTTAAGTGGAGCAAACCAACAGGAAGGAGCCTGGCAGCAGCGGTCTGGCTGGGATTGCACAAAACCTGTTAAACTTTTAATGGTCTTTCTGAAATTTTGGCAACATGTTCATTCAGATACAGATAACATGATACGGGACATACCGTATTGGATAATGGGTTCATGTACATTAAAATGAATCACTCTCAACTCAAGTAAATAAATAAATGCATTAAAGTGACATTAAACCCTCAGATGTTTTAACATAAAACAATACTGTAATGTGCGCCTTACTGTAATCCATGGTTGTTTCCCTTGTCTTTGCTGCTCTTCCTTTTAAATTTGTATCTGTTCTCATGCTGGGCAGAACTTCTGTTTTGCAGCAGACTGCCTTGTCTCTGGAATGGATACATGGTGTCTGTGTGTAGGTTTGCAACCTGAGCCAGCACTACAGGGAGAGGCACTCAGTTGCAAAGGGAAGTTCTCCCCCAGCATGAGAAGACATGAGGATTTAAAAGGAAGAGCAGCAAAGAGAAGGGAAACAACCATGGATTACAGTAAGGCACACATTACAGTATTGTTTTATGTTAAAAAATCTGAGGGTTTAATGTCACTTTAAATGAAAAAACTTTAATTAGCTGTGTCAAAAACATGAACTCTCATGAACAAAAATGAACAATTTGAACTTCAAAGGTGGACGTGCAGATTTTGAGAGCCTCAAACAAAGCACTGACACCTGTAAAGGGCTACTGCACGCGGTATACTGAGATGCGGCAGCTGAAACGGATCCCGACAATTATGTCTGGATCCGCCAAGCTGCGTGAGTGACAGCTGGCTCTGCCTATCTAGAGGCAGAGCTAGCTGTACCCGCCCCCTCCCCCATCCGTTCCGCCAGTCAGCGCTGGAGGATCGGACATGGGAGGGGAGAATCCACTCACTCACCTGTCACGGCTCTCTGCAGTGACAAGATCGAGAAGTGAGCGAGTGCCGGTATGTGTTCGCTCACTTCCCGATCTACTGAGCCGATCTGTGACAGTTTCACAGGTCGTCTCAGTAGATCGGGAGGTGTGCGAACACATACCGGCGTTCGCTCATCCCCCGATCTGGATCTCTAGCTGGATTCCCCCCTCCCCGCTCCGATCCGACAGCGCTGACGGGCGAACGGACGGGGGAGGGGGCGGGTACAGCTGGCTCTGCCTCTAGATAGGCAGAGCCAGCTGTCAGTCACGCAGATGGGCGGATCCCGGCACAATTGTCGGGGATCCGCTTCAGCTGCAGCGTCTCAGTATACCGCGAGCAGCAGCTCGCGGTATACTGCGGTGTCTCAGTATATTGCGAGCTACAGCTCGCGGTATACTGAGCCTAGGGTGACGGGAGGACGCTAGTTTGTGTCCTCCCGTTACCCTAAGGAGAACTATGGTGAAAAGACTTAACCCCATAGTTCTCCTTTAATGAAAGGAATTCTGATTTATGCATATGCGGGAATGGAATGTGTTAGGGCCTGTTGTGACCTATAATGCATTTCTGTAAATCCCAGCTTGACAATAGATGAAGGTCACACTATTGCTGATGATACAAACACCATAAAGAGAACATATCTATGCATCACTTCACACACACAGCACAATACACTGCACACACAATACAGTGTATCCAGTACATACCAAAACCATCTGTCATGGCCGGGCAATAATGAAGAGGAGAATGGGATAAACCAACACAATCATGAGGAAAACATGCAGATATGAAGATAACATAATGAGGAACATCTATGAAAACACATTTTTAGGTGTTGCTTATATCGCCCAATCAGAACAGCCGTTCATTTTCCAACATGCTCTAGGAAATGACAACTGGAAAAAAATGTGTTTTTTTAAAATTATTATTATTATTTTTTTTAACAAATGTGTTTTCAGAAAAGTCCTCAATGAATGGAATGTGGCTGGAATACAACCTAGAGTCATGGCTAAAATCTGGGCTCTTATTTAAAGGAATGCAATAATTCAGAAAGAAAACCCACACCAAGAGAGACATAGGGCCCCCAACTGAAAATACTAGCTGCCTGGCTGCCTCTAGCTTGAGGAACAGGCATGCAGATAAACAAATAAGCCAAGTGAAGTCAGAACTCCTATTCTGTATACTTGTTCTGGGTCAGTAATACAAATGATTAAACCCTCAGGGTGAGCATGACATCCTCAGTACAGGATGTTCTTTAATAAGCCTGACAAGCAAAGTTCCGACACCTCTGTGTAGTGTTGGAGCTTGAGCTAAGCCCCATCCCTACACATTCCGATTGGCTCATCACTATGATTGGCAGCTTCACTAGCTAAAGAGGTTGTTTTCATGTTGACAAGTTCCCAGCACCCAGAAGGGTTTGAAGTCACGTCAACCTTTGGATCTGGCAGTCCTCCACAATTTATAGACAATCCTTACTCTGAGCAGAGATCACTCCTCTATGGTAATAATTATGTAAGGCAGTGGAGGGAGGATCCTCTGCTTCCTAAGGATATTGCCTCTGAATAGTCAAGGGTCCCTGGGGGCAGATGTGGAACCAAGTGAAACCCCTGTTGGTGGCAGAAATAGCTCAACAGATTGGCAATCTGAAGCCTTGGTTATTTGACTTTTTTTTTTTGCCAAAAAAATGTGATTTCATTAAAGTGCATATGAAAAAAACATTTGTTTTTATTTTTTTGGGGGATAACAGTCCCCTTTAGGAAGTTATTTCTGTTGTGTGCAATACCAGATTTTACCAGCAGGTGGTGCTGCAGGAAAATCTTTGATTACTGCTGTCTATCATTAGAAAACGAAAACCCTCAGGCAAGGGACCTTAAAGCTGAACTCTGGGAACAATTTAAAACTGCTCTAGCGGTAGGTCTGTCATGTTTGTTTTTTTCTGCGTACCGTTGAATGCAATTTTCTTATCCCTTATCTCTTCATGTTATGACTAGTCCCTCAAAGCCTCTGGTGCTCTATTGGTTAGTTGCACTCCAATGTCATCACGTGCAATCCAGGAACAGCAATCCTGCATTGCAAGTGAGGATACCAATGGCCCACCCACAACTGTTTCTGATACAATCTAAAGTGTTGACTAGAATTAGTTCTTGTGGAAGTTTATTCCATATTTTCGCAGCCCTTACTGTAAAGAGGCCTTTCCGCATGCACATGTGCGCATTAGGGTTGCCACCTGTCCAGGATTCACCCGGACAGTTCGGGTTTTGAATGCTCTGTTCGGGTTTCCATGGCAGCAGAAACCCGGACACAAGATGCCAGGCAGACAGGGGCAACCAAAATTAAGATAGGGGCTACTGGCCCCCCACTGAAAATAGTCTCAACTGTGATATTTGCATATGAATGGGTGGCGCTATTTAGATATGAATAAGCCACGACTAATTTTCCCCAACTGTTCGGGTTTCGCTTGAAGAAAAGGTGGCAACTCTAATGCGCATGCAGAATGGCTTTTTTACAGAAAGGGCACTCTTTACCTCCAGGTGCAAATATTGTTATTTGCTATATTGACCATCCATGCATTAATAAAAGTTGATTGTATGCCCCATAAAATGCCTCTTCTCAAGGGAGAGTAAATGTTTAGGTGACATAGCACAAGGAAGTCAATAAAAAATCTCATGACTGTACAGCAGATGTCTTTTATGGGTCACACAGTGATCATTCACGGTTTTATTCCTTTACATGTCCAGTCAGAGAAATGTCCTTTTCCACTCCGCCACCTTCATTAGTCATTTATTTGGTGCTGATCACCCCCCGTGAAGCTTACAAAAATCTTGTTTATTTTTATTGACTTGTGACTTAAAGGGTAAGTTCACCCTAGAATACTCAATGAACATTAAGCAGCCATATAACACATGTAACATTATAAATGCATAGCCCCATTGTTTGACTTCTGTCTATCGCAGGGGCGCCCACAATTTTTCGTCTGGAGATCTACTTTTCAAATGACGAGCTCAATGAGATCTACCAACGAAAAAACACCTGCGTTCAGAGGCGGGAGGGGGCGTGGGGGTGCATTGAAGTCAATGGCACTGCAGCCAGACCCCCACCCACGGTGCGATCGCCTGCACCTGGAAACAAAGGAACATTAGTGCCTGCGTTCCGGTCCAGTGCAATCCGCAAAAATACTGCAAGCACTATCCTTGCAGGTCACACTGGATCGGAATGCAGGCACTAATGTGCCTGCGTTCCGGGTGCAGGCAATCGAACTGTGGGCGGGGGACATGGCTGCGGTGCAACCCCGCGCCCTCTCCTGCCCCTGAACGCAGGGTGTCGGCAGGCTTGCATTCCAGCGCTTTCTAGAGGCGCCGGCGTCCTATCCTTCCACGGTGCTCGTGTGGCCAACGTTGCACACAGGGAGAGGTGTTCCGCCCCTTTCCGTCTGCGCCGTCTGACACATTCTGCCAGCAGCCATACAAGCACCGCGGGAGCATAGTCGTAGCCAGCTCCTTTTGCGCACGTGGCAAGAAAAAAATGGTGCCCCCCAACAAGCATGTGACATCATCCAGCGCCCTGCCTCCAGGATTTTTTATTTTATTTTTTACTATTTTTTATTATTTCTTATTTAATTATTTTTTTTTTACTGTTGGGGGGGCTTCGGGGAAATATTAGGAGTCTAAACAGCCCCCTGATACTTCCCTTTTAAAATAGAAAAAGAAATTTAGGACACAGAGTCCTCAATCTCTTTTTCTGTTGCCTCTCTTCTAAATGAATGGAGAGCACAGAGGCTTCCTATTCATTGAGAAAAAAAATTACTATCACCAGTTTCTGAATGGGGAGGAGCCTCTGTAGTGAGTGCTTCTCCCCATTGAGGAACTGTAAATCACATCCTGTTCATTCATAACTGGGGACACATAGTACTATGTGTCCCCAGTTATTTACAAACACTGGAGTGATCAGACGATCGCTCCAGTGTTTGTCCTGCACAGAGGATTGGTACATATCACTGATATGTACCGATCCTCTGCCGCTCGGCCACGCACAGAGGGGGGCTGCAACTTCTCCTCTGGATCCGAGGAGAAGGGAAGGAAGCACCTCAGCCGCCGGGGAGGGGCGGGATGCGGGGGACGGAGCCGCTTTAACCACGGAGCCAGCGGCATGTGCGGTGAGGAGAGAGAGAGCCACCGGCTGTCAGATCCAGGCCGAGCGGCTCTCTCTCTCCTCACCGCTCGGCGACTGCAGCTTCACTTTTTCTCGGATCCCCGCTGCATACAGATGGGGGAGAGCAGCGGGGATCCAGAGAAGACAGGACATCACTGGTAGATCGCGATCGACCTAATGGGCACCCCTGGTCTATGGATTCTCGTAGTAGCAATGGTTACATTTATCTGCCAATTCCCTAAAGCATTCTCTAGAATTGTTACATTGTAGGGCCCTCCTTACCATCTTGTCTTGAATTGTATTGTAATGTCTTCCTTAAATTGTAAAATGCTGCGCAAACTGTTGGCATTATAGAAGTCCTGTATAATAATCATTTTAGCTATTGTTACTAAGATGTATGTATTTCCTATGATCCTCAGCTCCATCTAGTGGCCACAATGTGGTATTTTCCAACTTACTGGAGATGGTTCATTCACACAGAAAGAATGTACATGCAGTTCTGCAGGGAAAATAGCTATACAAATTGTTTTTTAAATAGACCCCATGGTGTTGCTCATCCCCCCCACCGATGCTATTTAGGTCTTTGACAGCATCAGGGCACAGAGGAAGTGCGTTTAAGCAGTTTCCACTTTCAGGCTTTGCAATCACTTGACGTAGATAGCGTGAAGGGGGCTGAGTGATGTTGGTTCTGTGTTTAGATGAAGCTGAGATCTTGAGGAATGCTGAATTAAGCTTTACTTGCTTAGAAGGACGTTATGTCAGAATACATCATTGGAGTACAGCGCCATCTACAGCTCAAAAAACATAATTACACAAGTAATACAATGATATATATGCTGTTGCATTTCCAACAAGTGACACCATGAGTTGCATGGTGTCACTGGTGATAATTGGCAGTTTTCCAATGCTGATTGCTGGACAGAGCCAGAGCAGGAATAGAATTCAAACACAGTGCTATGCATTGGTCAAGGTACATGTGTAATATGACTGTTTAATGTTCATTTAGTAATTCTACGGTGAACTTCCACATGAAAGGGAAACTGAACTCTGAAAGCTGTGCCCACAGCAAGGCTGGCAGAGGGCAAGGACTAGTCACTAGTATTGCCTGTGATTTCTCTGCAGCTGATCATTTCCCCATTACTAACTTACCATGCCTTGTTCTGCACTGCATCTCTGTGCCGAGTCAACCATATTGGCAGAGGTAAGGCTTTGCTTCCTCATGTCAGAGCCTCCAGCAAGGAAAACGGTGAGCAGCACAGTTCTCACTTCACCAATTGTCACTCCAAATCTTGTGAGACTGGCAGTCAGTGGCTGCAATGCCTCAGATCTCACACTTCAGATATACCGCTATGAAGCTCAATGCACAGGAATGCCTAGGCACCCTCATACACCAGGATGTGCACTGTTATTTGTTAGGAGGAGTTCAAGACAAAAAGGTAGATTTTCAGGGTATGGTTTAGGCACAATTAACGTTCCTTGTAACATAGCAATTTTTTGAGCTCAGGTCTACTTTATGTCTAGTGGCCCTTTAGCAGTGACGTGAGGTACCTTCCGTGCTGGGTGAGTCATTCCTCTCGCCCCGCCCCCACCTGCCGA